CGACCTATAAAAATCTATAAATTATAGATTAATATTAGAACTACAATTAGTTCAAGGAATAATTATTTTAAAATAAAAATTGCAAAAAAGAAGCCGGGAGTAATTAATACGCATAAAGAACCACATTGGCAAAATGCCATGCTATTGTTTAAATTTGCATAACTTAAAATATATACAGTCAAAAATATTAAATAGCAAACAACACATTTAAATATATATGTATATATTTATGTGATAATACATTCAAATAAAAAAAAAATGAGGAAGTAGGTGTAATTAAATATTAAAACCTCAGAAACGTTTTAAAATACTTGAAAGTAAAAATGCGTTATAATAAAATATAATAAATATATGTTTAAAAGGTTTTTGTTTTAAACATGATTTTTTTTCTAAAGTTGTTTAAAACATGTATAAAACATTAAAAACATGTTTTAAACAAAAAACTGAATGTTCTCTGCTTCTCTTACTTCGACGCACTGCCTCACTCGCGTTCTTCAACTTTTCAATGATTTTAAAGAAACTTTTTCGACAACAAAAAATTCGAAAATTTTTCAACAGCAAATTCAATTCTTTGGTGTAAGACGGAACTTTTAATCTTAAAAACCAGAACAGAAGTGATTTTTTGAAAAAGAATTGTTATCTCGGCTCCTAATAATCGGAGGGTAACCTTTTTTTTTTAAATTCGTAAAAAAATGTTAGATTTCGAATGCTTCACACGGCTATTTGATATGATGCATATTAACGAAATTATTTCCATTTTTTTAGAAGATTAGGAAGATATCTACTTTTTAAAGGCATTTTATAATAGTTTAACTGCAAAAAATTGTTTTGTTATTAAGTGTACATGATAGTGCAATTCTTGAAGAAGAAAAATCACCTCTGTAAATTGCTGTGCGACTGCTCAAAGATGAAGAAATTAAGTTTTCCGCAGACAGGTTTTTAGTGAACAAATAGTTTTTCGCAAAAATTAATGAACATTTCAGGCTTGTTCAGGGGTGGATTTTGTTTGTCATTACGAGGATTACATTTTACAAGAATTTCAAAGCTTTGCGTTTAAATCTCAATAAACAGAGAGCAAATAAAAAAAAAGGTAAAAAAACCACTTTTTCGGTGTTTTTTATTTTTTTCTACTGAACTAATAGATCGATTTTAATGTTCCACGTCTCATTTTGTAGTTATTTCGAATACTTACATTTTTTTATACCGATTTTTTTTATACAATCAATATCTTTTGTTTTATAAGCGAAAAACGTGTTTTTTGCAACTATTCAATTTTTTTTCGCATATTTTTCGAAACATAAGTTTCGAGTCTCAAACATATGCATTTCTTTTCTGATGGCCTTTCGAGACTTTCGTGAAAAGAAATGCTGGCTTATATATTTTTTTTAATTCTAGTTCTATTGAACTATTCTTGGTACTCGAGTTTATAAAGAGGAGGTATACTATATAACGCGCATGAAAAATCGTAAACAATTAAATATCTTGTAAACTGTTGCGTTTTAACATGATTTATACTATTATGAGGAGGAGTACGCTATTACTACAATTTATTAAAGTTTATATGTTATTTAGGGTGCCCTCTCGCCTCTTATTGATGCTTAGGGCCGCCGAGCGGCCGAGATTGCTGAGAAAGCATTTTCGCTTGAAACAAGCGACTAGTGTGAGGAGGAGCTCGCTGTCTCGTTCACTCTCGGCACGCCGCAGGCCAGCACACGGATATGGGCTCGTGCTTGTTTGTGTGTTACAAACGCCGCACCACGATAAATGGTCGAACTTATAGGCATGGAAAAATGACGTTTTGACGACGAAATTCATGTTGCGTTTTGTTATTGTATTATTTGCTTAATTGAAAATGCGACTTGTCTTGTACTTATCAAAGTCGTAATTATCGATGAAAACTAAAGTTATCTTGAAATTTTATATGTAAAAGCGTATATTTTAACAACTTTCGGGCCGTGTATTTCTGCCCGAATATAGGCTCACTTCACGTGCTTTTTACGATTATTCACTGACTGTCAAGACGGGAAAGGACAGTTTTCATCGATTTTTACAAGTGTTTTAAAGCTATCTCGTCATTTTGTTTCATCCAAATTGTCTTTATTTAAAAATGGTACGCAACATAAATTAACGTTCCTCGCTTCTGACGTCACGATTCCAACATTGCCGCCACAACTAGTCAGGAGCTTTAAGAAAGAAAATTGTTTTAAAGATTTAAAAATTATATGTGTGAGAGAGTATGTGCCAGGAGTATGCGTCGCGCGTCGAGGTTTTACATTTTTTTTTAACATTTTATTCCGCCATTTTAAATTTCTAAATTTTGAGTAGATTCGAAATCAGCATCTATAAAAGCTTCTATGTATTGAATTTGACAACAATTGAAGCATTTTTAGCATTTTTGTCTGCCATGTTGGATCCATCATTTTGAATTTTTAAGTTTGGATTCGATATCAACGACTTTAAAAATCCCTGAATACTCAATTTAACAACAATTGGAGCTCTTTTTGGCTACTTTTTTTTATCTTCTGGCTCATTGTGCGACGGCTAAAACCTCTTGAATATTGTTCAGGATCATGATTTGAATAACATTTGTCAAGATCAAAGCCATTGAAGGTCGTACCGCTTGTTTTCATTTTTAGAAATGTAATTTTTAATGCAAAAATGAAAATAAGAGAAATAATCTCCAATGGTCTTGACAAATGTTATCCAAGTCATGATCCTAAACAACATTCAAGAGATTTTAAGCGTTGATTTTTGGGTAATGCTAGTGCATAATGGTGCTGCTGTAACTTGCAAGCCTTGTAACTCGAAAAGTGCTTAATTGAGAATAATTTTATCATAGTGTTTTGAAAAAGTTTTGAGGCACGCAACAAGAAAGTGCAATAAAAAGTATTTTTGTTTAAGAAATTGAAGGTAACCTTTATGTGACCTTCAAGCAACTATTCATGATCAAATTAATAACACCATCTTGTGTCGTTCTCAAAGCCATACAATTTTTGTCTGAAATATTTTTTTCTAAGATCAAAAATAAAAAAGTTATTTGGGGTAGGCCATTAAAATACGAGTGTATAATATAAATTAAAAAGTAAACAATGCACGATATGAAGAAGTTTATCATATGGCAATAATAATAATAAAAATGAAAATAAGAGATACAACATCCATTGACCTTGATTTTGACAAATATTATCCAGTCAACAACTGATCCCGAACAACATTTAAGAGATTTTAGCCGTCGGTCAGACACTTGCTAATGCCGGTGCTACGGTAACTTTCATGCCTTCTAACTCGAAAACTTAATGAAAAATAATTAAAAGTGTTTATTACAATGTTTTGAAAAGCTCTTAAGGCTATTAGATTCTGGAATCAAAAATAGAGTGTCCTATATAAAAAAAATCGATTTGACTTTGACCTGACCTTGGCGATACCTAAGATCAAACTGATAAGATCTGTAAGTCTTTTTGTACCTTACAACTTTTGTTTGAAACATTTCTTTCAAAAACGGCATCTTTTCGAGTAAATTCAGGGTCCCGATCTTTTTTTAACGTTCTATAAATAAAAATATATAAATAAAAGTACAGGTTAGTAAAAAGCTAAAATTATTATATAGGTAATTATAATATAAATCTTTAAAAATGTATATAATATAAGGGATTGAAAAGTAAACATTTATCTTTTATTAATAAATCTATTTAAACTTGAACTTTTTGTACATATAATTTACTTTCTGTATTTAAAATAAGATTACAATTGTAATTATATGTAAAATATGAAAAAGAAGAAAATAAGAGACAATGACTTAAATACTTGTAGTCAAATAGATGCACAATTATGCCACATAAAATTATTTTTGAAAATTATATAAAACTAAAAATATATTACTGATAAAATATATTACTGATACTATATATTATATTTATAAAGCTTATATACTGCTAATTGTACAATAAAGTAATGGCTTCTAGAGTAAATCAATCCAATATAAATGAGCATATAAGCCAACGCTGATTTTTGCGAATATTTAATATTGTTTATTTATAACATAATATAACAAGATCTAAACGTTTCGACTATTGTTAGGTCATCTTCAATAGTTTGTAAAATACAATATTTATCTAATTCTAAGTCATTATCTCTTTCTTGTTATTCTTCTCTTTTTAATTTTAAATAATTTTCCTCAAAAAAAAAAAATTTTTAACTATAATATATTTACATTTAAAAAATTATAGCTATAAGTATGAATTGTAATTGCGAATATAATTAATTAAGATTTCTTGTTTTATAAATAATTTTCCTAAATCTTAAACTATATTTACGTTTAAAAAATTATAGCAAGTATGAATTGTAATTGCGAATATAATTAATTAAAATTTCTTGGTTTGGTATTCGCCGCTTATCTTTGCATATGTATGTTCCATTGATAGTATATTATTCAGCTTCTTTTATAGGTAGCTTGATTTAGTCACAAAACGGTTGGTGTTATACATTAGTATTTTATTTATATTGCAACAACTGTAATCATTCTTTACATAGAAGTTGTCATTTCTGTAACATAAAATTAAGACCTGAATTTTTGTCTATATTCTACTAAATCATTGTACAATATTAATTCTTTAATCACTAAATTTAATATAAAAGTCAATATTATAATAAAATTAGTTAAACTTAGTCAATTTTGATAAGAAAGTCAAATTAGTAAGTTAGTCAATACTTTTAAACATTAAAAGGACAAACATAAAAGAGAAAACAATTGTTATAAATTTGAACAAATATTATAATATATAATCATTAAAATGAAAACCTGATTGTGAAATGAAAACTTAAAATAGTTGTCTACGACTAAGCTTATATATTTTTTTTTACAAAGAATCATGTCAGTTTATCAATTTATTTATCACTTTATATTATAAATTTTTTAAATAATTTTATATGTTTATAATTTATATAAGGTGTTATCACAAGGTATGTCAGAATATATATAGAATCTATTTGTTTCATTACAGATAAAGATAAATGATCAACAAGATGGCAAATATGCAGGCCCAATAATTTCTGGACACAGATTCGACAAGAAATTAATATGTATTAAATATCCAGGAAACATTATTAATGTCGATAAAGCTATTGAAACATTGGGTGGTATTAGTTCCATATCTATGGTACGAGAGATACAATAATAAATACTATATATATTCAGTTAGTTTAATTATATTATCTAACTATATACATATATATTAGACTGACAAGCCAAAAACAAATTTTTTTTTAATCGGCTTCTTAGCTCAAAAGCTTCCATTTTATGTCAAAAAATACCCCTAAATTTTGATTAAAAAATGTTAAGATTTAGAAGTCGCTAGTGAGCGATTTTTAAATTAAAGTTTCGATTTTCTTTAATACATGTTTGATTTGATGCAAAAATGGCTCCGGATTTTAAATATGGTACTGTATGTCTTTTCGATCGCTAAACACGATGCAATAATTTATTTGGCTCTACGTTATATGTCTTAAGAAATACTGCCCGATTAATGTGAAAAAATGACCAAATTTCGAATTCAAAGTCGATTTTAGCAAGGTTCCAAGTGTTCAAATGAATTGTTATTCCCCTTAAATTGTCTATTCACTCAGAACAAGATCCAGTTGGAATTTTTCCGGAACCTTCTACAGAGTCTTTAAAAGTTTCATATAACTGGATTATTAATACGTTTTTAAGGATAGAAAAAAATTTTTTACAAGTTCTAAAGTATATCGCTTTGTGGTCTTCACATCCTCAAATGAAATGCCTCAATTTAACAACAAAAAATAGTTTATTAGAAAATGAAATAAGTACATAATAACAAAAATTGATTTAATTAATTGAAATAAACTATCTATATAAAATAAGAAATGGAATCATATATAATAAAAATAGGAATGGAATTTTAATGGAATCATAATTGATGATCCATGTAATTCATAATATATTATCGAAAATTTTGAAAATTGTTGATTTATTTTATATATAATATTTTATAGAAAAAGCGATAATTATATGCAAATATACGAAAAAGAGACAAAGTAGAAGTTATAGGAACCTTTTGTGGGTAATGTGCTAATGTTTATATATACTGTATATATATATATTAATATATATATAACTGTATATATTAATATATATATAACTGTATATGTGACTTACAATTTAAGGGGAATAACAATCCATTCGAACACTTGGAACCTTGCTAAAATTGACTTTGAACTCGAAATTTGGTCATTTTTTCACATTAATCAGGCAGTATTTCTTAAGGCGTATAACGTAGAGCTAAATAAATTATTGCATTGTGTTCAGCGATCAAAAAGACATACAGTACCACATTTACAATCCGGATTAAGCCATTTTTGTATCAAATCAAACATTAAAGAAAATCGAAACTTTGATTTAAAAATCGCTCACTAACGACTTCTAAATCTTAATATTTTTTAATAAAAATTTAGGGGTGTTCTTTTGGCATGAAATGGAAGCTTTTTAGCTGAGAGGCTGATTAAAACAAAATTTTTTT